GGCCTGGTTGGTGGCCAGGATGAGGGGAGGAAACACTTTGTGGCATTGTGGGTGTGGGGCACATGAGGGAGGGGTGGCTGGGCAGGCAGGGGGCCCTGGGAGTGTCGATCCAGGAGTGCACGTCATCACTACAACCCTCGCTGGTTTTAGTGCCAGTGCTCCTCTTGGTGAGCCCGTCGGCGTGTGTGGACATGTTCAACTCTTCCACTGTCTCAAGCACACGCAGGTGTGTGTGTGTGCACAGCTGGGGAGTCTCCTGTGTCTGCAAGGTGTGTGTGTGCACAGCTGGGGAGTCTCCTGTGTCTGCAAGGTGTGTGTGTGCACACCTGGGGAGTCGGTGGTGTCTCCTGATGCCTCCTGTCCCAGGCCATGTGGATTCACTTTGCAGGGCTCTGGCTCCGAGTCCATTCGCAGAGCACAGGGCTGGAGGGAGGCCATCAGGGAGACCAGTGTTTGTGGCCCCACAGTCGCAGGGAGGCCCCTGCACGTCTCCTGCTGGCAGTGTCCTCCGAGGGGGCACAGAAACTTTGCGGGCGAAGCACGTCCTGAGTGAACGCAGGAAGGAAGATGCTTCTGACCATCCAGCCTGGCCTGCCGACCCTCCCATGAAGGACCAGGACAGCAAGTTGGGTGGGGCCGCGGGGGCACCTCAGTGCATGCGGCATCAAATAGAACTTCATTTTTCCTACTCCTCACCTGGTAATTGTCACCTGAGGGCCCATTTTCCTAGATTGAACTGTCATTCCCACTCTGGGCTGCGTGCCTGATGCTGCCCCTTCAAATGAAGCCCCTCGCTTGGCCATGTACACGTATTCCTGTCATCCGTTCAAACTCTCGGAGATAGAAGGGTGCTAGGCTGAGACCCTGTGCTCTGTTACTCTGAGCACACCTGTGCTCAGATACGGGACGGGGCCTTGCGTCACCTCCGTCCCAAGGATTTGCAGGGATGTTCTGTGGTCACACGGGACATTCGGGGGTGGGGGTGGGAAGGGGGTAGAGTGGAGTGTGGGCAGTCACACTCGCGGGGACCACCACACAGGTGCATTTCCAGGGTGTCTGCCCAGTGCCCGGGGGCACGTTCTGGCAGCCGGGACCCCCTCTGCACAGACAGGATTTCTCTGGGCGGCCCCTTTGAGCTGTTTCTTTCAGGCGCGTTCCGCTTGCGCATCCCCTGGTGGACCGTGCTGGCTCCTCTCTTCGTGGGAAAAGCAACCCAGCGGCTCTTGCCTTCCTCGCTGGGGTCTACTGTCTGGTGGGTTAAATTTGCACGTTCTGTTCCACTTTCTGGAATTCTAGTGTTCTAAGTCCACTAGCTCTATAAACAATTCATATTCACCCTATGAATTTTTTGACGACTAGCAGACTACTTCCTTGGTCCCACTGTTTCCTCCACTTTTCCTCCACTTTGATGCCTTAGTAGATAACATGTTCACCCACTCGTCATCTGTTCGGGTTGAGTGACTCTAGCTCTGGTCTCCGACTATGGCGTCCCCTCCTGGCTCACATGAGTGACCCTGAGCACGACCTCACTCATCTCTGTTGTAGATTGAGGAGCAGCACCCCAAGTGCAACACCTCAGGCCCTGCTGTCTCTCGGGGATCATCAAGGCCACGTTTGTGGGGGCTTCCCTTGACGCTGCCTTTCGGACCCTTGCCCTCCCCAGCGCCCACTGCAGGCTGGAGCCTGGGCGCCAAACGGGCCCCTTCTTGGGGAATAGGCGGTGGAAATGGGCAGGAAAGGAAGACAGCAGGTCCTCCTGGTTGAAGGGCAAGCGATTGCCTTTTGATTGTGAAATTACACAGAAAACTACCCTGAGAAGCCACTGACAGAGAGCACACCAGGCCCCTCCCTTGAGAGAGGGTTGAACAGGGACGTGTTCTTGTGGGTCTGGGGAGGAGCTCGGATCGGTTTCCACACGCGGCCCTGCCAGGAGAAGTGTTGCCGTGAGGCTGGAATCAGGCTGTTAGTAATAGAGTCCGGGGCTGGAGAGCTGTTTAGGGTTCGAGGGGCTTTTATGCCCATTGTCCTTGATTTACACAGTAACTCTTGTCAGCTAGGTGAGACTCCTTTAATAACTTACGTTTTAATGATTTTCAGCGTGAGACGTTTTGACATCTTCCTGTGTAATCACACATTTGTTCCGTTCACACATGCATCACATCTGCTCGTGTCCGTGTGCGGGGCGGCTGGTGCCGTGGCCGAAGCCCACACCCAGAAGGCGAAAGCCTGACCGCCACCCTGGGCCACACAGGAGCCTGCGGCTGGGTCGTGCTGGTGGTGCTGGCGGGGGCAGACGAGCTGCCCCGTCCAGGCCTCGCCTGGCTGCACTCATTGGCCTGGCCTGGGAGGCCGGTAGGGAAGCACCGAGCAGGGAGCCCCCAGGCTGGCTGCAGGTGCGGTGGGGGTCGGTGTCGGGCTCCGCTGTCCCGGGTGCTGGGAGTCCAGGGGAGCTGCCCGGGCGGGGCCCGAGGAGGCGGGGTCCGTGCCCTTGGTGGGGGTCTGTGAAGCAGGATTGTGTCCTGGCTGGGGTCTGGCCTGGGGGACATGGGCTGCGTAGGTCAGGGTGGCTCTGGTTCGCTGTAGGCCTCGCCCCGTCACTCGCGTTGGCAGATGCTGGTTGTCCGCCTGCCTGCGCTGCATCTGGGGGGCCTGGTTACAGGAAGAGTGGCCATCTGAGAGCCACGGGGGCAGGGGCACCAGAGCTCTGCCACGAGGGCCTCCAAGCACCTGTTGCGTTGCTGGCACCCACGTCCTGGATTAGGGCTTTGTGCAGCTGTGGTTCTTTGTCCAGATCTGACTTGTAGTGAACACGCCTTCCTGGTGTTGCTGCTCTCCTCTTCCTGAGTCTGCACACAGCACCATGGCCTTTCCCCAGCGTGGCTCGAGGTCCCTGCACACTTGGTTTAGACACAGGCCTTCTTGGGGCTCTGGGCTGGCTGATGAAAGGCGAGCTCCAGCCTGCAGCTCTGGGTGGACAGGCAGGGAGTGATGATGAAGACACAAAGGTTCCAGGTGGACCCCTTCCCCCGTCAGTGTCTCACCTCCTCGTGGGCCCAAGTGTGGGCTCTGCAAGATGTCTGGGGGGATTTCTAAGTCAGGTCGGGTGACGAGGTGAAAGGGTGCTCTTTCACACCATGTGCACACACTGACCTGAAAATGTGTTCTAATTTACAGCATAATGTGGACAGCCCCTGTGTTAGGAGGCTCGTAGGACTTCTCTGTCCTTCCTGGAAGGGTCCCCAGCCCTGGGCATCTCACTCTTGTCTGGGAAGCAGGATGGAGGGCCAAAGGTCCTGATCGCTGACCCGCATCGGGCCTCTCCTTTCTCACTTTAGGGCAGAACAGTACCCTGCAGGTTGGCAAGAGATCTAGAACAACGGGTGAGGCATGGCGCGCAGGCCCGGCTGTGGGTAGGGAGCCTCCTGCAGAAACCGGCGTCCCTAGGAAGAAGTCCAGTTCCTGTCCCCACTGAGAGAAGGTGGTGGGGGGCGGCTTGGTGCCGTGGCTCATTACCAGCCTCCCCTGAGAGGACGGGAGTGTCCGTCCCGCTGTGGCTGCACGTGCGCGGGACACCCCAGGACAGTTGTGGGGCAAGCCGGCAACTCCTGACCCCAGCCCGCTTCTCCATCCCTAACTGAGGCCTCCAAGGGCCCTCGACCCCTCCTTCCTGGCTCTGCCCCCCCGGATTCCTGCTGTAGCCATTCTCTGAAGGCTGCTTTCCCCAGCTGCTCCCAGCTCAGATGCTCAGTGTGGGCTCTGTCCGTTATGATGTGTCCACAGGAGAATTCCCTAATTTCCTTCCCATGCTTCTCCATCTCGCATGCTCCTGGGTCACCTCCTGGTGCCATGACACACCCATCGCCTCTCCCAAGCCTGCAGGGCCCCCCTGCACCCTCCTGCCCAGTCCTGGTGTTGCTGGATCCTGGTTGGCTCCTCCTTGCACCCTGCACCCCATTGGCTCTTGGAGCCGCAGTGACCCTGGATGCCGACTCACCCCTGTGCATGTCCTCCTCCTATGGGGACTCCAGCGACATTGGATTCGGAACCACCCTGATGCCCTCCTCTTAGCATGACGGTCAGCAGTGACCTCTTTCCACGTAAGGTCACATTCTGAGGTTCTGGATTTAGGACTGAACATGTGAAGCTTGGGTGACACAGTTCAGTCCACAACAGCGCCCGGGTGCCGCTCGAATGCAGGCCCCAGGAAGGCAGGGCCCGGTCTGTTTGTTGCTGCACCTAGCCCGTCTCCTGTCACCTTGGCCAAGGGCACGAGAGGTCGGCCGGGACAACTGTGGTTGCTGTGCAGCAGCTTTTATATGACAGCATAACGGAATATTCTCTGAAATGCTGCTAACAGGGTTTCACAGGCGGGCGTGACTCACGCAGCCGCGTGCTGGGATTCAGGACCGGTCGTTGCAGCTGTGAGCTGCACGGTTACGGCAGAGCCGGGCCTCCCGCGGGCCTGGGCGCGTCATCCCGGAGCACCCTGCCCCTCCCAGGGGGTCGCTGCGCACAGCCCCTCTGGTCTCCGTGTTTACCTTCAAATGTGTCCCGTTCACGTCTCTCTCATGGCACATCACTCATTTTAGAAACAAGCCCATTTAAAAATGCGTTTCCTTTGTACATTTGACGCCCGTCCTGAAACTCGATTTTCAGCATCTGCTTCTCTGTCTCCCGTCTTTTCTCTCTCCTTTCCCGTCTGCCCTCCCCTCCCGGCCCCCCCATTATATTTTTTATTGAAGGCTGAGTTGAGCCGTCGCTGCATCACGGGCCCATCACGCTTCTAACAATTCCATTTGCACTGTATTGTTTGTCTCATTGCTGGGAAATTCAGGTGATTCATCATGCCTGAAGAAGCACCTGATCCCGGCTGCCCTGAGAGCCCGGTCACTATGTGACAGGAATGCCACAGGCGCTGAGGTGGGGGCATGGGGGACGCGCAGCTTCTCAAGTGTTGATGAGTTCCATTTTGTAACGCTGCCCCCCGCTCTCCTCAACAGCCCCCTGAGCCCAGAGAAGGGGAAGGAGCTGATGGAGAGCATCGCGCGGCTCCTGGAGGTGCCGATGAGTGTCTTCCCAGACATCGCGTGAGTGCCGGGTGCGGGATCCGGGGCTTTTAGTCTCCACTCACATCAGGTTCCGTTTCATAATTGGTTTGCAAGGGAAAGAACTGTGTGCTTGGGGTTCTTGTTAATTATATCAGAGAGAAACAGTTCAGGAGAGAGATGGAAGGAAAATTCCAGGTGGGTTTGGTAAGTTATTTAAGTGCAGCTGAAACTGGACTGTAATTGTGAGAATTATAATCTCCTGGAAGGACAGGGCCCACTGGGGCCACAGTGCTCAGCCCTGCTGCACCTAGAATTGCCTGGGAGGCTCTAGAACATTCCGGTGCCTGGGCCCCACCCCGCTGCAGATGAGTCTGAGCCCAGGGACGGCGCGTGTCCGTGAAAAGTCAGCACTTAGGGAGTGCCTCCAGCATGCACACCCTGCCACGTACTTGCTGCACCACGTCCCCTGAGCACGACCAGCCTCTCTCGTCATCAGGGGACAGGCTGGAGGCAGATTCGGTGGCACTGGAGACTGGGGGGAGGTCTGGACGTGGAGGTCAGTCCAGAAAGTCGTCTAGGGATGGATCAGTGGTGTGCTGTGAGCCACTCAGGCCTGGAAATAAGAGGCTCAGCCGAGCTATCTCTTGACACAAACGGCTGGCCCGGGGCCTTCAGTCCTGGAAATACAGTTTGACCGTCGGCAATTCTTGCCACTCGGTGGGGCTGTCCAAGCTCTTTCCCTACAGCTGTTAACTCATTTGGAAGTTCATCACCCTTTATTTTGAGTAGAAAGGAGCCAGAAGTTGGGAGAGAGGGGCCAGGCTGAGTCCTAGTCTTAACAGTAAGCCCAGATTCACTTCCTTGGGCTCCTTGCCGCTGACGACGGTGCAGCCCGTCTCTCCGACAAATGAGGGCTCTTGTATTATCTCTGCCCCAGCAAAAGGGACCATCTACAAGACGCAGCTTCTCTTTCCTTTCTTTTTTTTTTTTCAGATTTTATTTATTCATTTGACAGAGAGAGAGGGAACAGAAGCAGGGGGAGCTTCAGGCAGAGGGAGAGGGAGAAGCAGGCTCCCCACTGAGCAGGGAGCCCAACCTGGGGCTCAATCCCAGCCTGAGCTGAAGGCAGACGCTTAACCAACTGAGCCACCCAGGCGCCCCAAGATGCAGCTTTTCATTCAACAAATGTTTACAGAACACTGTGCCAAGGTGGAGCAGAGAGCATGACATTCCATCAGAAATGGGCACAGAGCAGAGCTGGAAAAGGTCAGGCAGCCCTAGTTCACGTGGAAACATGGGGCCAGAGGCTGTGAGGTCTGGAGAGCAGGTGCCCGGCTGCCTGCAGGCAGGAGGGACTGCGTGCCCCATGCGAACAGGCAAGGCAGCTCGGGTGGGCCCCAAGGCCCTTGTGAGGAGTATGGTGTTCCTTCCGTGGGCTGGCAGGGTACCACAGACTTTACATCAGGAGAGCATGTTTCTATTATAAGGGACACACACAGGTGGAGGCCCAAGTGCCTTGGGGCCGCTGAGGTTTCTAGATGAGTGTTGGTGGTCCCAACCCCATGCCAGGTGGGGTTTCAGCCTTGGAAAGGTAGTCATGAGTGTGAGCAGGAGCTGAGAGATTGGGAGACACCCACGTGTGACTGCGTCATTACCTGGTCAGTTGAGCCACACGCCAGCCCTGTGGGAGCAGCTTTTATTCCAACCTGTCATTTCAGACGCCTTTGAAAACTGTCCTTTGTCCGAGCACATTCCCTCCCATGCAGGACTCCATGCCAGGTGTATGCAGGCGTCTATGCCCGTCTGTATGCGACCCTGCGGAAGGGGCATGGCTGCTGGACTCGGGAGCTCAGCGTGAACATAGGAGGCCCACCCAGGCCCTTTGCCCAGGGCATGTGTCTCGGGTGCAGTTAAACAGATCACACACAGAGAGAGCCAGTCCTGACCTGGTGGCGCCGACCATTCCCTTCAGAGAGGCAGAGGGAAATTTCCCCGGTGTGCCTGCACCCCACACGTGGCTAGTCATCTGCAGTCTTCACCTCTGGACCCCAGGGTCGGGGCTCACAGTGGTCCCTGACACGTTCACGTCAGGCACCCAGCGCAGGACTTGCAGAGTGCAGGCCTGGCACCCACACCATGCCCACCAACCAGGGTGGGGGGCAGTCCTCGCGCCTGCGTCCACAAGTAGGAGACACTGAATGTGGCCCCCGAAATTCACCTGCTGGTGCCAGGGACAAGTCGCTGTTGAGGGAGTGAATGAATGAATGAGTGCCTCCTTCATCAGAGGGGAAAATGTCCCGGGAGCAATTGGAAGGCAGTAAACAACAAGAAGACTTCACGTCTCCACGGGGAGCTCCCAGGAGGGGCCGGGGTGGCCTGAGCTTTTGGAGAATGTTCACACAGCTCAGGCCCATTATTGAGAACATTAGACAAAAAAGTAATCACATGGAGAGGCTTCAGAGTAAAACGTGGCCTGGCCCCACTGGCAACTGTATTTATTGAATTTTCATTATTTCCCTCTGCGCTCTGGGGTGAGTGAGCACCAGATAGAAGGCAGAGGTCCCCGCACACGGAGGCCTTGTGCTTCCTGGAGACTCGGCCCCCCGCCACTGCTTGCTTGTTGGAAGTCGGGGTGTGTGTGCCTCGTGACCTGGGCTCCGTGCTGCTGGGAGAGTGGGGTTTGGGAGGAGGGGTGTCCTCAGGACAGGGGAGAGCCTCAGGAACAGCGTGGAGCTCTCCAGGCCGAGGTGGGTCAGGTGGGTGTGACCCAGAGTCCACCGCTGAGGAGGGGAGCTGCCCTTGGGCCAGGCTGGAAGCCCCCATGGCGGCCTGCCTCATCGCCCACCCCCAGGGGCAGGCCCCGCACATGAGCCCACTGAACGCTGTAGGACTGAGCCTTTCACACAACTGGCGGCCACTGACCACGTGTCCACGACTTTTCTAGCAACGAGAAGTTTCTTGTTGAAGGAAGGTGTCTCCCAGAGAGAATGGGACAGGGGTGTCCAAGGTCAACAAGCATGTTTAGCCCATCTTCTGTCCTGTCCTACGGTTTCTGCATTGCCCACCTGTCACCTCCCTTTCTCCACATCCTTAGCCAGGCTCATCGGCCTCTAAGAGTCTCAGGGCAGTGGTGGGAGGCCCAGAGGCCAGGGCGAGGCAAGGCAGGCTTCCGGACGGGAGAGGCTTCTGGTGCGGGTGGGGGTGGGGGTGTCAGGACTGGAGGGGCTTCTGGTCCGGGTGAGGGGCATCTTCTGGAGAGGGGCATCCGGTGGGAGGGGTGTCTGGTTGGGGGAAGTCTGATGGGAGGGGTGTCAGGGCTGGAGGGGCTTCTGGTGCCGTGGTGTCCATGTCGGAGCTGTCTGGTGGGGGAGCGGTGTCCGGTGTGGGGGGGTGTCTGGCAGGAGGGGTGTCTGGTGTGATTTTATTTATTCATTTGACAGAGAGAGAGGGA